CCATCTCATTCAAGTGCATGAGGGCTGCTTGCTCCAAAACCTGTTTGTTTCAAATATATGCGTAGCCGACCAGTCCGTGTACATGTTGAAGTTGGCAATGTTATAGAAGATAATGTCACCAATGTAAGTAAAAATGGTGTGCCACACCACTGCAGAAATGCAGATGCACAGGCAAGTTAGCAGACACACAAACATTTACTAGTGTTCCACAACGGAGCCATGACATTTCTCCTTCTCCATCCCCACCCACCCCCCTGTCATTTTTTGTTACTGAATGGCAAAGGAAAGGGAGGACTAGAACAGATGGGTGAAGTCAGGCATAGAGACAGAATTAACAGGCCAAGAAACAAAGGGAATGGATCCTCTGCCTGAAGAAGGTACAAGCAATCAGGAACTGTCCAAGCAGATATCACCAGCATGCATTGCTAAGCTGCCTTTGGCTCACTGGTTGTTGTTTTTTCAAACAGCTTAGTAGAGGAGCAACCTAGGCCTCCATGATGATGACGTTAATGCAGAATTAAACCAACTCCTATTAAATTCTTCCTTTGATCCAATGCTGCTTTTTTCCATGTTGCATCAGATTCTGTTCTGAGAACTATATCCCCACCACCACCTCCTCTGTCGTATTAGTCCACCAGTACTCCTCACATAAGCCTAAAACCAAACAAACTTCACTGCTGAAAGCAAAGTATCCACATTCCAGACATTTGTTTACAAAAGCCATTCAACAATAGAATCAGAGAATTCAAGAGAGACTTAGGAGATGTCCAGTCCAATGGAGGCCGGTCTCATCAGTCTACCAGTCCAGGATGCTTCCATTGGCATTCTTCCCCAGCAAGAGGTATAACCAGTGGTGGGATTCAAGTAATTTAACAACTGGTTCTCTGCCCTAATGATTTCTTCCAACAACCAGTTTGCCAAACTGCTCAGAAAGTTAACAACCGGTTCTCCCGAAGTGGTGTTAACTGGCTGAATCCCACCACTGGGTATGACCCAGGTTAACTCACATGAATCAGAATCAGAGATCCAGGTTGGAATACCGAGAACACAGGCTAAATAATACTTATTTCATGAAATATGTTTGAGAGGTCCTATTTTTGTACAAAGAAACACAAAATTAGAATAGCAAAAAGCAAGTTTACAGCAAGAAAACATTTTGTTCAGTTATCCCATAATCAGATCAGGATGAAGCTGAAGTAATTACTGGGTGAATCTGGATGAATCTGGATCTTGGGAAAACTCAAACCTGTCTACTCAAACAATGATGTTTGAAGCTTTCCAGAACTCACAGTTCTTCGGGAAACCAATAGCCTTTACATTCTTCAAACATACAATAGGATAACTGAGAGTGAATCTAAAATAAACCAAAACAAAGACCTAAATAATGCATATTTGTCTTCACCCCTGCTAACTTATATGGAGACATTCCTGCAGTTTTCTTAGCATGATGTGGAAGTTGCTTGTCACTGATTTATCCTGAGATGCTCTTTTGAATTCACAAACCTGCCAGCACCTAGATTTCCATTTAAATTTTTCTCATTCAATATTAATAAGAAATTTTGCATACAAATTTATAATATTTTGCATACGAATTTATATATTTCCTATCAAAGAGACACATTTTTCATCTTAAAATGTGGGGGCATAAAATAGTTTCCCAGTTTTGGCAACCCCCAGCTATAGACTTCAACTCACAGAACTGTACATCCAAAAAGTTTGTTGTTGAGAATTATGGGAGTTGAAGTCCACTTCATCACACATAAGGTAGGCAGCTCTACAAGTTTTATTTTGAGTTGCCCAGAGCACTTTGGTTACTGAAATACAAATCTGCAGTAAATAAAATAATTTAAAACTATTAGCAACAGGTATTCAATCTTTGTCTAAATTCAGCTTCTTACGCTGAAATGAGATATGTAGCACTACTCTTGATTCCTGCACAATCTAGTATACCCTTTAGTAAAAATTCAATAAAGCAGCATCCACAGGATACCCGATACAACCATAGTGGAAGCAATAAACATAACCATTGCATTTATTGTCCCAATGGCCAACATCCAGTTTTATATTCTGTATGATATAAACCCTACATCAATAACAGCCATGTATTAATTAACATTCACGGTGAAGCTGAGCTTTTACCAAAAAAAAAAAAAAAAAGGCCTGCAAGTCATTTAAGTTACATTACTTAAATCAGGGCTCCCCATGCCCCAGGCCGTGGCCCACTACTGGGCCGCAGCCTATATGAAGCCGGGTCACATGAGTGATGGACAAGCGCACGCATGCCAAACTCCACTTGCGCAAGTGGTGGGCAAACGCACATGCCAAGCTCCGCTTGCATAAGTGGTGGGCCCTTGTGCTTACACGAGAAGAAGCTCCACTTGTGTGAGCAAAGGAAACTTGACCCCTCCATGTCAGCACAAGCATCCTCCGCTCAAGTGCCCTCTACTCGCGCAAGTGCAGTTTCGAGCGCAACTACAAACACCTTCTGCTTACACATGAAACTCCATTGGAGCTGTGCGCACACCTGCACCTGCCACTCACATGCCACCTCCACACACCGGGTCCCCAAGGTGGAAAGGTTGGGGACCACTGACTTAAATGACATTACTCCACCCCCCACCCCCAAGAACTTTGGAAACAAAACCATGGAACTATGAGCAGAAAACCATGGTGTCTTGGAAGAAATGAACTGAACTCAGCAGTGTACAAGTATACAAGCAACTTGACAAACATAGAGATTTCCTCCTGGCAATAAAAAAAAAACCCCTTTGCTAATATCAATAGTATTCGGCCAAGTACGAAGGTCTGTACTTACTGCTTATATGATTTAGTAAATTAACAGGCCAATTGGAGGGGGAAAGTGTCCAGCAAATTCAAATGTATTTAATTGAAGCAATTTACATAATTTGTGCCAGTTTATATCATCTCTGTGATTATATATTTGCATTAATTATGCAAAGGATGTGAACTGATACAAACAACTTAAACATTAATTACCTGGATTATTTCAGTTTGAGGTTGAAGTTTGAACTAAAATTTGGTCTCTGTTGGAAGTTTGCTGAATAAGGGTCAGTAAAAAAATGAGGTTTTACTGTATTCTCACAGTAACTAGGGGAGGTTAGAAAAAACACAATTCATAATCCAATTAATAATATTTTAAAGTTTTTTAAACTTGTAAAAGTTTGCTATAAAAGCCACTTCAGGATCAGTTTTTATAGCAGGCCAGTGTTGCAGTGTTGCATAGTGATGGGACAAACCCCAGAGAAAAGTCCTAATCCTCACCCATCATTTCCACTGCAATAGGCTTCAATCAAAACGCTTTCATAAAATGTTTCACAGGGTCATTCAAAAATAAGAACAAATTAGCAAAAGCTAAACTTGCAAAGAAGGAAGGACACATATTTAGTGGTTCACTACTGTACCATGGCATGGCAAATGGCAGAAGAAATAAACTGGGCCTTTGAGACAGAAGATAACCTACCTGGACACAGATTTTTAGATAAATGGAAGTTAATTTTCTAAAACAAAAAGACAAAGTAATGAAGAAACGGGAAGAAAGTTCAGCAGAGGCATATGTTTTAACAGGCTCTTCACACATAAACCTACCTCCAACATAATCAAAATATCTCAGTATGTTATATGTTGTTTACTGGGTAAGATGTTCCATTAAGTTTATAGAGAAGTTTGCGTTTTCAGAATCAAACAAAGTATGTCTAAGAGATAGTATGTTTCCTTTTGTCTACACGTTAACCTAACAAAGCCTGTCTTTATACTGTTTATCATGTTTTCTAAAATTTTGTGCAACAGCTCTTTAAAAGCTCTACTGAGAATAAAATCAGCTCAACAAAACGTAACATGAATTACATACAAATAAAAAAGAATGGGTCAGTCGAGAAGGAAATAACCACAAGTTGCCATACTGAAGAACTTCAAAAAACAGTAAAGGTGAAGAATCTTGTAACAATGCCAGGAAGCACTGCAACACGATACAGTGTGGCTGGAGGCTGGGAAAGCCAACTGGTGCAAAGGAGTCTAATGTAGAGGCATCGTGTTACTGAACACTCCATAGGTAGCACCCCTACACCCCTAAGATTGCAGCTTTCTTTAACCTGGTACTCTCCAGGTATTTTTAATTGTAACTCAGTTAATCTCTGAAAAGCGTCTACAGCCATGCTAACAAAAAATGTAGTCCAACACATACAAATGGAGAGAAGCATAGTTAAAAAACTTTATTAACCTCAGCAGCATAGAGTAAAGATTGCTCAGATTTCACTGAAAGCTTCACACGTTTTTAAAATGGATGACCAAGTTTCTGATATAAGTTATTTAAGGTAAATCCATAAGAGTACAAACGCCCCTTGTTCTGTCTCCCTTTCAAACAACACAATGCAGGAAGTAAGCATGCCCTAAATATCCAACTTCCTTCCTCTGGTTCTGTAATATGCTGAGCAAGCACTCTAAACTACATGAGACAAATAATTTCTCAAATCAGCCTGCATGTTGCTACTGGGGTGGCAACCACCAATTCCCAAGTTTACTATTCTTTGTTGGTTATATGCCAGATGGTACAATCAACAGCTTTTACACTGAGAATGGCCAAATGTCCCAAATATTTTTCTATCTCATCCCCCTTTTAAAACCCTTACTATAAGCCCCAAGACTATTAATAATGTTTTATAAGAAACAATATTAGCTATCCAGAAAAAGATATTATATATCTATTAATAAAGGGGAGTTTTCTTACCAAGTTACTACAAACAAGTCAAAATGATTTTACAATTTTAAAGCATGTGTACTCCAAACTATTCAGCATCTAACTGTTGGTATTCTCAGATGGCAACTGGAAACCAGCAGGAACAAAGATTTTGGTCTACTCTGCTCTTATTTATGTTATGTTAACAGAAAATAACTTTGAAAAGAGCAGCAGCGTACATTCCATTCTCCAGGATACCAGAGTTCCTTAGTCTGAGATAACAAGTCTACAGTAACAAGAAACTCACCCAAATAAATATCTCCAAAGGATCCACTACCAATTTTTCGCCCCAGCCGATATTTGTTTCCCACTCGAAGCTCCATGATTCAGATGCGCTGGAAATAAAACAAAAGACAGGCAGGGTAAATTTAGAGGAGTACATACCAAAAAGATCCAAGTTCATTCTTAGATGTCCTCTATAAAAAATATTTCAATTCTTGGATATAGTGCCTTACACTTAGGAAACTCCCTGATATAAGATATGTAGACTTAGTTTCCTGACCTAGTGGTAAGACATTTAACATTTTAGTTTAGCAATCAGTGCCCTAATCAACAATTTGTGGAAAAAGGGTAAAAAAATAAGTTAGAGTACAACCCAGTCCCCAAAGTAAGCTTAAATCCAAAGCCATGATCAGCCACAATCTTTTTTTATTGCAGCAAACCTCACAGAAATTCATGCAACAGATTTATTCTGTAAACTCATGTATTGATGATCATCATGATAATTTCTGGCATAAATTTCATAAAAGAGAACCTAATGACTAGCCCATTTCAGAAAAATCATTCTAGTATTGCAACAGTGACGGGTCCTGCAGAGTCTTTCTCAACTATTGGATGAGACCAAGTAGGGTTGGGAAATATAGAAATTGTTTCCCCAAATATACACAACTTCTACTCTACAATTATTCCTTCCATGCTTGCCCATAAAGAGGTCAAATTACTTCATTGCATTTTGCCACATTATTTACAACTTAGTTGGGGTCATAAATGCATATGCTTCTAAAATTTGACAATAGGCCCATTGCTGATTTTTTTTCCAAGCATACTCATTAACATGAGATCTAGCCAAATCTGAGCCTTACCACCTCTGGTGCATATGGCAGGAGCAATCTCTTTGCATAGGCCTGTACCAAATGGAGTTCTGGAGGCTCCCCAGCAATATTCCCTGATGGCCACCATCTTGTGCTTTCTCCCTGTTCAAGTAACCTGGATCTGTCTGAAGGAGGGAAGGAGAGACCATGGCTCCTTTTAGAGGATGCTGCCATACAATTAATTTATGTAACACATGTTGATTAATGCATTCTTTGCTCTTGTGGAGTAAGCTGCTTGGAAGGGGCAAATGTTAAAACAAGGAGGTAATTTTGCTTGACAAAGCCCATCCAAACCTAAACATCAAAAAAGACCAAGCATTTTCTCCTCCTCCCCATATGGATTGGTCATAAGCTATACGTTTTTTGACTCATCCAAGTTATATTCCTAAAACTATAATACAATTAACAGATAAACTGGAAAGAGCAATACCTAACACAAATTACTTTGGAAATGTCTGATCTCCAAAGATGAAGAGTTTTCAAGATTTCCCTACCATTATTTCTGAAAGCATGATCCAGGGGTAAAGAACACGGAGTCCAGGCGCTAATCATGCTGCAACCCATAACATACAGAAAATCATGGTTCAGGTCACTGGAGGCCCATCCTGCCACTGCATTTTTTCAGCTAGTATGACCATGCATCTTCTTGGAAAAGCACTTACAATTTAGATGTGAGCCATCTAACACAGTTTTAGAGGAGCATTTCCAGCTAAGTCACCTCCAAACTGTTTTTTTAAAAAAAAAAAAAAAGCACTATTATATATTAAGAGAACCACCAATGAATTAGGAAGGAGCTGAGAGTTCACAAGCATTTCTTACCATCAGTCACAAAGAATCCCAAGTGCCTCCCCATATAGTAGACTTACTTACTTTCTAGTAAGGGTGCTTTGGATTGTAATATTAATAAGACAGAATCTTAGGAAAAGAGTTTACGAAGGCAGCAAACACAGTTCATGGGGAAGTCTAAAGTCCAGTTAAAACTGGAAAATTTTGCTCCCACGCCACTCATTAATAGATTGCTTCCAGTCTGAGATCTTTGCTACAATTTAAGGTATATTTTTTTTAATAAAAAGCAAGTTCTGTCTGCTTTTTCCAAAATGAACCAGCCAGTCTAATGAAGAATTCAATCTTTTCTGGGTTCATCTCTCCACCCATCAGCTTAACAAAGCATATACTCTGCATGAACAGATGATTATAAAATACAACTATCCCCTTTTTTCTGTTACTCAGAAAACTACCTCCAGCACACACAACCTCATGCATTATATAAATATAAATCATATTACATAAACAATTACATTCTTCTTTCCTATATACACAGGCCCCACACATCTCACTACAGTGCTGAATCTACAGGTAAGCAATCCACCCACACTTTCAAACAATGATTGTAAATTAAAGTACCTCCACATTAGCTAAACTTAATGTATAAATAATGCTACTGGGTTAGAAGACAGGAGTATGGAAGGCAGGTTTTTATATAGCTTCAAATATAAGAGGAGAAATGATAAATACGATGCCATCTTTTTTTAAAAAAAAAAAAATCTTAATGTGCCAGAACAAAGATCCTTGCTCCCCTCCCACCCCCTTTGAACTGTTATCAAAAAGGAAGGAGCTAAAGGCAACAAATCAACAATACAATAAATCCAAGCATTAAAAGGAGAAATTTAAAAATTGATCAGACCATCTCACTTAGCTATAGGCACAATTTAGAATTAAATCACTGTTCATATTATATTTATATGTTTAGGGCCAAAATAATTGAAAGGGGGAGGGGGGAAAACAGGGCAGCAGTCCGTGAGAAATAGCACAAAACTTAACATTTGCTAGACTGTACAATCCTTATTGCAAGGCTCTGAGCCGCTACACTAAGTAGCAATGTTAATTTAGAAGAAATGCTGAAGAAGAGAAGGAGAGAGACGGAAGCTCCCTTTGCTATCCCCCCCCCTTCCCCAATACCCAGCCTTGTGTCTGTGCACAAAAGGAGATGGCTATTTACAATAACATCTCCCCTCACACCACACACACACACACACACACACACACACCCTATTTGCCAAAGGCAGCACTTTTAGGAACACAACGCTGGTTACTAATTGGTTCTCCCCTTTAATAAAAAGCACAGATTCGGGGGTTGGCAAAGTGGGGGGAGACACCCGTCTCAGCGCTGGCTCTTTGGAAATCACCAGATGTGGAAGCAGAATGGAAGAAAAACAATAGTGTCCCCCCCCCCCCCTTTCCCTCCCCCAAAAGGAACCCGAGGGCGACCCCAACCCCCCCCCCCCCCCCCCCCCCTATTCCGGTGAATCAACTGAGAAGAAAAGGATCGGGTCTCTTTCTACCTATCAGAAGGGACAGGCGAGAGAAAGAGCAGGGGAACCCATCCTGAAATTCAGGCGCGGGAGGGGGGGTGCCCTACGATCCTTTGTCTTCATCCAAAAACCCGAAAACAAAACAAACATCTCTCCCCCCCCCCCCCCCCCCCCCCCCCCCCCACAGTCGCTGAGACTCACCTCCCTCCCCCGGACGACGGCCGCACCGCTGTGGGTAAGCGTCGTTCCCCTCCCCCGCCTAATCCCTCCTCTCGCAACCAAAAAAAAAACACAAAGAGGCGGTGGGGGCCGCCTTTCCCCCCGGATTTGCACCTCAAAACTTGCCCGGAGCCCCTCAATACTTACCCCGCCTAGAAGGAGCCTCCCTACCGCTGCTGCTCCTGGGGCTGTCAGGGGGGAGGGAAAGCCGGGGGGGGAGGATGACGGAGGATTGGGAAGGGAGGCTGATCGCCGTAGCCAGAGCTGCGCTGCTACCGCCGCTTCCTCTTTCTCCGTGCTCTGCCTGCTCAACCGCCTCCCTCCTTCCCCTTCAGCCTCTCTCTCGCGGTGTACAGCCGGAGCGCTCGCTCATTGAGTTCCCATTGAATCTCACGGCCAAACCCACTGATGTCATCCTACAGAGCCTTGGGCCCTCCCTCGGAAATTTAAAGGGCCAGCGTCTTGTTTTTGTTCCTTCTGCTTCTAGTTCCTTGTCAACAGCCGATTAATAGCGCTCGCTGGGAAAAAAAAAAAAAAAAAAAAGGGGGGGGGGGGGGAGAAAAAAAACACCACTAGAAGCCGACCCACCCACCCCCGCCCGCTGTTTTCGTCGTTGCACACATGCACAAAGTTTGCTAACAAACACTGTAATCGCCAGTGCCTGCCGATGTCACATCTGCAATGCAAAACCATTGAGCCCAGCAGAACCGCTGCGAGAGGTTTGGCAGAGAGGATGAGCGATGTTCACGTATTTCAGCGGAGGGCATCAGAGGTGGCTCTGCTCACTGACTTGGGAGTAAAAACCGGGGAATCTTGAGACATTTTTTTTTAAAAAAAACTGAAATAATTATTCTAGCATATGTTTTCTTAATTCTATGGCTTCCTAAATTTACCTATTTCAGGCAAACGATAGCAGAGGTTTAATAACAATGGAGACTAAACTAGCCAGACTGGATTTTTGTGTGTGAAAGTGTACAAGCAGACACGCACACCTTCAGGTCAATTTTTTTACTCCTGGCAACTGACTAGGCTAGTCTCTGCAGTTTTCTTGGCAAGGTTTTTCAGAAGTTATTTGCCATTGCTTCCTTCCTAGAGCCAGGAGAGAGTGAGTGGTCCAAGGTTACCTTGCTCAGGAGTCCCCAATCCCCAGGCCATGGAATCCTGAACTGGTACTGGTCTGTGGCCTGTTAGGAACTGGGCCGAACAAGCAAGCGAAGCTTCACCTGAGCATGCACAGCATCTAGGTAATGCGTGGAACCACCATTACCCTGATCTGTGGAAAAATTGTTTTCCACGGAACGGGTCCCTGGTGCCCAAAAGCCCGGGGGCCACTCACCTAGCTGGTTTTGTGCCTATGGGAGGACTAGAAGGACACACACAAAAGGACTAGCCTGGTACTTAACCATTACACCAAACTGACACTACTTAGCCATCATTAATATTATCAAGTGTCATATATCTCATTATATTTTTGAAAAATCAAGTTTGGGTGATTTTTTTTTTTAAAGTTACATTCAAAAGCAACATCTACTTTTATCTTCTTGGGCCCTGAGTCAGCTTTGCAAAAGTTGCAAGTCCTGTCCTCTTATTTATTTATTTAGGCATTGGATGCATATGTATACATTTCTAGTGCAAAAATATGACCATCACGATGATGCTATGAATCAACAGTTATGCAGCTAAGTATGTATACTTTGACAAATGAGAGCTGGA